TTCCAAACTTCGTCTGATATTAACATCAGCACAAAAACTGTGCACTGGGAGCTTCATGGCATGCGCGACTGAGCAGCTCCTGTAGGTGTAATGTGTAGGTTGGTCCCTACTTATGTTGATGAACCTAGCATGAGCAACACCACAAACCAAAGCATTGATGGGATATTTATACATAATATAGCTACATTTCAGTGCCAGTCCCTAGAGCTGCAGTGTCAAACATAAGGCCCAGGGGCCAGAATTGGCCTGAAAGACTCCAACCTCACTCAAAGCGATGTTTTAAAAATTTTGACACTTCACATTTTCCAAAACCTCTCAGTGAGCCTGACAAAGTCTTCCCCTATGTCCATTTATGCTACACCAAAGTAATGAAGTATAGATAAACAATTTAATTACCAATAAGCTACCAGAACTTTTTTTTTTATAACTTAAAACATTTATATCCCAAAGAGTTCTGCTGACAGATGTCTTACATTTACTACATGAACATTTGTTATCATATAGAAAAAACAGTGATAGACTGTAAAAATTGCACTTCTTTTTCATATATCAAGATATCTGAGCAATCCAGTATGTAGTTAAACTTCCTCACACTGACAGAAAGGGGGGTTTCATTGGTCTGACCCACTTAAGATCAATGTGGTCTGCAATGTTAAATGAGATTGGCACTCCTCCCCTAAAGCCTAGGCGTTTAAAATACTTAAATATTAACACAATTAGCAAAAACAGTACAAGCTTAAAGTCATAAATCAACAGAAAAGGCTGTTTTCCCAAATGAGTTTAAATATCTCGTATAAGAGTGCAGAGGTAGTGGTACTGTTTGTTTGTGTTCTTGAGCTAAAAACTCATATAAGCCTGATTATGTAAGGAAGTAAAAAATTGTATTTATATAGCACCTATCAAGACAAATATCACAAAGTGCTTCACAGCAAAAAATGATGAACAACAAAAACGTACAAAAATAAAAAGTTACCAGGCAAGTTTTAAAAGATGCATTTTTATCTGCATTTTTAACTCATTCACTGCCATTGACGTCTATAGCCGTCAATTGCAGTGCATGAGTCAATGGGTTTAACTCATTCACTGCCAATGGCTGGCAGTGAATGAGTTAAAGAAAGTACAGAGTCCACCGATTTTAGATTAGAGAAAGTTCCAGTCTGTGGGCCTCTGTGGCAAAAGCTCAGTAACTGTAGCTTCGTGATGAGTTTATGATCAACAATCTTTTGAAATAATGATTGTCTAACATTTTTAATCTCCTTTTCATTTGTGAATCATTATAAGAGGCTTGGTTGATGTAGCTTTTGGTTTTGAACAAGAGCTGAAACATTAACTTACACGTGAAGATGTCAGGAAACTTTTTCCGGCATGAAATAACCTCTAAGAAGTCTTAATGCAGGGACTTTTTTTTATTGTTGCTGTTGTTGTTTTTTGTTTTGTTTTGTTGAGTCATTGAGCCTTAAAGAAGAGGCAAACTTACAGTTTCCTTAATGTTGAGTGTAAGACTGAGTTTACTATGATGCTGTAGACTGTAACTGTCATCCTTTCATTTTTTGGACCCAAATACAAACTAAAAACACAATTTAAAATAAGTACAAGCCATAAACTAAACAGCAAAAAGCCAAAAATCAGCTGTGAATCGAGATAGTTCTGGAGTCAAAAGGCTCACAGGAGGAAAATCCAGTGAAAATAATAAGGAAGACAGGGCTGAGTGTACACAGAGGATTAATTTGGGATGGTAAACAAGAGAAATGAGACACAAATGAAAGCAATTACACGCAGCTGAAGACAGTTAGGGCAGATAATCATGAAGCAGGAAGTTAAACTAGTGCAAGAGGTGAAAGAAAGCTTCAGACAGGAAATAAACAAAAGAAAACATTGGAGACAAGACTAGCCCTAAACGTAATAACATAGAGCATACAAACAAGACAGGGAGACAGTGGGAAGACTACAAATATAATAATATCAAACCAGTAATCAATGCTATGACTGCTAGAAACACATGTGAATGTATTCACCTGTTTACCCATGAAAACATGCAAATATTATTTTCTTCAGTTCTTTTATTTTCATGTAGCTAAACTGGAAGCTCACGTGTCTTCACTATTAAAGCAGCAGATAAGTTGAATGATATAATCATGCCTGTTATTTAGCTATAAAGCAAAAGCATCAGTTATGATAATACTGAGTTGAAAATCAAGTGTGCCTTCATCGTTAATTAGTCCACCTTTGTTAAAGTGATCTCTCTCACTTTTCTGTTTGATCTCAGGGTGGAGTTTCAGAACAAATTCTACCACGGGACCGGTGTCAAGTTTGTGCCCTTCGACTTCTCCCTGCTGCCCTCCGTTTTTGAGCAAGACGGCTTACTTTGAAACCTCTGAATTACCGGATATGACTGGAAACAGACTTTACAGTTCGGAAGGTTACTGGAAGTTGGAACAATTCGCACTGTGATAAACAAACCTTCAAGACAATTGATTTGAAAGTCATTCTTGTAGCAGCGTTTTTCACCACGACAGTTTTTAAATGTTATCGGCTGTGCTGACTGCCTTACTACTGCACCCAGCAGACTTCTGAGTATACAGAGGCTCGCGGTCCTTGTTCTGCTATTTGGGTTTTGTAGGTGAAACATTGCTCAGCACTACTCATCGCACCAGTTGGGTTTGATTTAAATATTTCATTTACACTGTGCTGTGTAAACTGGTTTTTGCATTACTTACAACATGGTATTTAAACAGTTAATACAGTGCAACGTAAAGTTTCAGATGTTACAGCAGCGTCTAAAAACCATATCAAGCATCCTGATGTAGTGCCATAGAGATTTTTTTTGTTGTTGTTGTTGTTTTTTTATGACGATATCTAATAATGGGATGCCTCTGGGTTTGTTTGTTTTTTAAATTTCTTCTCCTTGTGATGAAAGAAGTACTTTTAGGCAGTAAATTTAAAGACAAATTAAACCATTGCAACCCTTTTTTGTGAGGCTGTCACAACGCACTTTGCAGAAATGATTGTAGAAATTGAAAGTTTTCACAGATAACTGCGATGATGCCAAATGAAAATAATCAACTTTGCTGTTTGCTTATTTACTTATTAATGCATTTATTTAAATATAACCTCCCCTGTAATCTATAGAAGAAGAAAAAACACTGAAATACTACAGAAAAAAAAGACAAAAAGTCTTAGGTCTTTCTTCCTTTGATGATACCGCTTATTGCATTTGTTAATGATAATTAATCATGGTATTTATTTAAATTATCGTCCGTACAATAATAGTTGAATATTTTACCATTTTGACGTGTTAAATAAAGGTTCCAAGAAATGCAAGCAAAAATAAAAATGTTTGTTGTGATTTCACTGGCTCTGTGATGCACACATTTTACTGGAATTTTTTAAAATGTCAGTTTAATTACACTAAAAACCTGCTTCAGGTCATTTTTAGTCAAAATCTGAAGTGATTAATAAGCTTATGAAAAAATAAAGCTATAAATCAAAATAATTAATTAATGTTTAATGAAATATTTTGCATATATGCAAATATGTGCATCTATTTGTGTATAATATGTCACTTTGGTGGTATATTATAGTAATACTAATAATACAAACAAAGGAATAGCTTTAAACGTACACTCACCTTTTCAACAGACAATAATCTAACCAATCAAATTTCAGCAAACTATTCCATTTAGGGGTGTAGACCACACTGCATTTGCATTTATTTTTTTGGGTTGTGGGATTTTGTCAAACAACCATCTCCAGGGTATACAGGAAAAACAGAAAACACCAATTCTCTGAATGAAAATGCCTTTTTTAATGTCAGAGGAGAATGTCCAGACTGCTTCAGACTAACAGGAAAACACTTGTAACCACTTATTACAGTCAGGGTATGCACAAGAGCACTTTTGGATGTACAGCATATTGAACCTTGAAGCAGATGGACGACAGCAGAAGACCACACTGGATGCGACTTCAGATAAAAACTGCATCAAAACTGAGCAACAAACCTGCAGCAACATGTCAACATGGATCGAAATCTGTGTGGGATGTTTCCAGCAACGTGTTGAATCTATTCTGTGAAGAATTAAGGCAGTTCTAATGCTGCTGAGTATGTATTTAATTAGAAGGCAAATGCAAAAAATTAATACCTTCATCTTAAAAATAATTTTCATGCATTTATCATTTTAGTAGAATTTACTTAGTATTTAAATAAGAGGGTCTGTTATTCTGTAAGCGTTGCGGGAGCAAGAGCACCCACTTATTGTTCTAAGACAGAATAAGAGTCCAAAAATCCAGAACTTTAATCAAAAACAGGCAGTGGTTACATACGGGGAATCAGACACCATTAACAAACAATCCAAATGAGGAGCAAGCAACATGTAAATTCTATGAAACATCCAGAAGCACAGAAGGAATATAAAGAACACTGGACTACAAAAAGCAGACGATGATCTGCGAATAAAGGAAGTCTATGATTATATTCAATATAGGTGGCATGAAAGTAGACAGGACAAATCACAAAGAAGGCAACATAAGACAGAAAGTGACAACAGAAGAGAAGAAGAAAACAAAAACTGCTACTTGACATACTCAATATAAAATAAGAGGACTGCATATAAGCTTGAATATCTGTTAAAGCAGTCCCACCCCATTTAATAAACTCTGGAAACGCCCCTGACAGGCACGTAAAGAAGCAACGGTGTCCTCTTTCGGCGTCACGCTCGCAGTGCACCTGAGGGCCCATAGAGGAAGTAATCTTTTAACTCTGAATTATAAAACTTCTGCCTCCGGAGTGTGTTTCAGCTCACAACCCCGACAACAATTTCTAAATTAAGACTTCTGTAAATGTGATTCGGTGGTTTTGCAATGATTTTCTGCAGCGATGTAGAAATATGCCATATGCCACACGTGCACGCGCGCACACACAAACCCGCATCCTTATGCTACAACCCTGCGAGAAGGACGTCATCACTCTCCCCCCCCCTCCTTCACATCCTCTGCCTCTGTCCCTGCACGCAGTCAAAGTGCAACCTCTGAGTAGTTTCGTGCAATAATATGCTCTGTTGTTCCGCCCTGGCTCCTGAAACAGCCGACATTTTCAAAGTGTCTCCGGGTGGAGGGGCACACTGCCTCATCACCACACAGCTGCAAGCAGGCAGTAGCTTAAGCGAAGGGTACAGTGTTGCAGTGCAATAATCTGGCTCACTCGCAGCTAGCTTATCGGTACAGCTGTTGACTGGCAGCAAGTCCACTGAAACTGCACCGACTCTCCTCCGTCCATCCCGCCGGAGCACCGGCCGAGAGGGGCAAATGAACGAGCTGATGAAGAGTTTACCCTCCCCGACTCTGCCCGGGCTGCACCTCCCGTCCGTGGATACCCACAAAGGCTGGCTCTTTAAATGGACCAACTACCTGAAGGGCTACCAGAGGCGGTGGTTCGTGCTCAGTAACGGCCTGCTGTCCTACTACAGGTGACGGTGATTTACTCAGTTAATAATATCAGAAATAATAATGGAAGCTGTTAGCAGCATGTCAGAAATTAGTTTTATTTAAAAGGAAATTAAACTTTTTTGCATACCTTATCTGGAGGAAGAGGTTTAGTAACAGCAGCCTAAATAAATAAATAAATGAAAATCACATGAGTCATAACTACAATGAGATGACCCGTGAACGATGTTAAAAACTATATAAGTTTAAACATGGTGTCTAATAGCACTTATTACGTCTATCTATCTATAAATAGATAGATGCTGTCTCTAAGAATAACTTTATTGATCCCAACAGGAAATTCATATTTCTTGAAATATCATATCATAGAAGTCCTCTATAGTATTATATTCTATAATAGAGTGCTAGATATATTAATTATTACATTATTATATATAATAAGGTAATAAATATCTATCTAGTGAACAGCAATCTAGTCTTTCTAGAGGGACTGGACCTAGCATAATACAACTAATAATATATAACATAGTATTCATATAATTTTATATGTAGTCTCTATGTAGATAGATAGGCAGACAGACAGAGAGGATAGATAGATAGATAGATAGATAGATAGATAGATAGATAGATAGATAGATAGATAGATAGATAGATAGATAGATAGATAGATAGATAGACGAACGGGCGGACGGATGGACAGAAATTTAGCCTTGTAAGTCATGCAAGGCAAAGCTCTCATTGTTAACCTACAGTACATATTGTCCAGAGTTGTCTCCTGAGGGAAACTTAAACTTGTTTGGTATGACACTTATTGCGACTCTTTTAAAACTGAAATAAGTCAAAAATGGAGCTGCTCCATTTTATAAATGGCGCACATCAGCATGGAGCTGAGCAGAGAGGCTGGTGTATTCTTGCTTTTTTTTTTGTTCTGCTGTTACACGCTGCTGTTATTCCCCTCAGGACTCAGGCAGAGATGGCACACACTTGTCGGGGAACAATTCCCCTGGCGACGGCGCACATCGAGGTGGGCGACACCTGCCACTTGGTGTTAACCAGCGGAGGCCGGAGTTACCACCTGAAGGCCACCTCCGAGGGAGAGTGCCAGAAATGGGTGTCAGCACTGCAACAGGCCAAAGCCAACGCCACTCTCCTCATGCATCACTCAGGTGAGACAGGCATGTTATACTCTTTGTGATTCGTGTTTTTGGACAGTAAATTTTAGTGTAGTGTTAGTGTTACTGTTCTGTCATGGTACCTTTATTTTATGGGGGTTTTTTGTTGTTGTTTTGGGGTTTGGGTTTTTTGGGGGAGATTTAAACAAAAACACCCACACCAGAATTTGCACTTTAAAGGAACAGCATGGTTCAGCCGAGAAGCTCTGAAGCAGTCAAACTAATTTTAGCTGTAACCTGAATGCAGGCTGACACAACCAAGACCCATTTTCCTAAATGCATATTAGATTTCTACACATTCTCTGTGCTGACTTTATAGTTATGTAAACAGAAGGACACAAGGTGGCAGTGTTATTCAGTATGTCCTTATGAGAACAGTCCGTTGGGGGCAAGGGGTGTGATTAAAGGTAAAAAGAGGAAGCTGTATTTAATCTTGTCATATTAAATTACACCTCACCTTCAGCTATGATCATTCTAATACTCCCTTTTTTTTACCTTCAGACAAATAGAGCATCTTTCTGTCTTACACAAATGCAGAATCACACATGCAGCTACCGCCACCTACCCTCCCCACCACGCTGTCTCCTTTCTCCCTCCCCGTCTCCTTCACTATGACGACAGTGAGTGCTGAATGAAATGACCTTCCTGTAGACTCCTCCTCCCCTTTCTGAAAGCAGGAGGGGTAAGAGAAAAAAAAAAGAGAGAGCAGGAGGGTGTGAGCATTTTCATTGAAAATATTTTTCCACTATACACTCTGTGGACAATAGGAAGACACGAGGGCAGCCTTTTTCAGTGACTGTGTCACCTTGTAAGTAGCCTGCTCATTATATTACCAGTGGCAGGATTAGAAGTGAGACAGTCGCCGTGCATTTGCTTGCATGCTTTTTTTGCATCCATGTATGCATTAGTAATCATAGCTTTATGTTTATGGAGTTCAGTAAGTTGGGCAGTCCCTTTAATTTACTGCACATGCACAGCAGAGCCGTCGTCAACCGTCTCTGTGTACGTTGCCTAGTTCGATTTGATGTCTGCAACACCCAAAAATGTTGTGTAAAATGTTCGAACTCGGAAGGACTGATGTGTGAGATGTACATGAAATACTGGTTCAAATATAGAGCTTAGCCCATTTACACTGTTTTATGCATTTTAAGACTTCCAGAAATGGTCTTAAAGTGCTGCTGCTCCATGTTTTTGGGTAATTATTTTCATCATAGGTTTATGTTCCATATATTATGTGTCGTTCACACAGCTGTGGCTGATGTGCTTGTGTGCATGTGTAAGAAGAGACAGTGCCTTGTGTTTTTTGGTGTGATGTGATTATAGATTATCATCGAGTGAGCTTTTTCATCTGGGCTCATTAGCGGGACAAATTAATTGGCTAAAAGTCGATTCGAACAGCATCTGTCTGTCTTATAATAGCTATTACTAAAATCTTTAGGCTCCTCTGAAATATGTATAAATAGGTGTGTTGTGAAAAAATAATGTTTCCCGCTGGTGTTGAAGACAAGATGAAAGCGTGAGGATGAATCCAAATAGCCTGTCCTGGAGCCGGCTTTCAGCACACACAGTCAGACTTTAAATGGTTTTTCCATGCTGAGGAAGCTTACAGTGCATCCCCTGATTTTTAACTCTCTCCTCCCACACTGTGTCCATATTGATGCTCCCGCTATCACCTGTGGGTGTTTTCTTTTTTTTTTTTTAAATGATTCAACGATGAGTCACCAATTGAACTCTCCAAAGTCCTGTGTGGAAAATAACCAGTCAGTGCATAGACTAGACCAGTATCCCTCTGCCCTACATGTATACTGTTATTCTATGTCCGAGCACTTCCATATAAAAACATCGGATGGCAGATGGCCTCAGATCGCAGATTCATCGCGTCTTAACACCTTGAGCTCCACCAGCAGAGTGCGATTATTCTCTCTCTATATATATGTGGGTCATGAAACCATTACAGATGCCTGAAGGATTTTTCACCCTCTCATTTTTAATCTTCTCCTCCAGAGACGTTCTTAATCCACTTTGCCCTGATTGTTTTCATTTCTTTGCCCCTTTAGATTGAAGTAGTTTATGTCCCGTACATAGGCAAGGCTTTCTTTCAAGCACAGCAGGACCTAGAAAAGTTTCATTGCATAGGATGGAAGCAGTTACATGAACTTAAAGCTAGGTTGTTTGCTTTGGCATTCATTGCTCGCTATAGATATGGGTCTGTTTTTATACTGCATAAGAAGTTTTAATAGAGCACAGAATTGTGAGCAGGCGCATCATTCAATCTTCAAAGTGCTTATGCAAAGAAAATGAATATATATATATA